ATTACAGACACAACAGCTCTTTCAAGAGCCACTGAACAGCCTTAGACACAAAATAGACACTCCAGCTTCCTGATGCCATCCATAGATTACCATCTAAAAACCATGATATACCACACGTCCCACGGTGTCACACCATGTCCTGTCTCCCACTCTGTTCTGTCTTGTGTCTCCTGATTACTCCCACCTGCCCCTTGTTTTCCAATCACCCAAGCTGCCAGCCCTCATGTATTTAAACCCTCTCAGTTCTGTGTGTCTTGTCGATTCATTGTCTCCATGTCCAGCGTGCTTCTCATTAAAACCTTTAAAGAGGTTCCAGTCTCCCTGCTTGCTTCTTCCCCGCGTTTGGGCCCTCACCTCCGCTTCACTCACCTGCAGCCTGTAATAGAATGAATGGAACACCCGAAGGATCCAGCGGGGAAGTTCTCCCCTAGGAGTACCTGCTCCGGTGGCTCACCCTGAGCCACCAGCCGGCGTCTCCTCCTCCTCCACCATCTTACCGCAGACGCCACAGATTAACCTCGGCCTTGGCGATCCCCTCCACCCTCCCAGAGTCAGATGGGAGGTTGGGCTGGCAGCCGCAGCTGGACCGCTCCAGCTTTCTGGGTACCTGACTGTTGGTGTGCTCCCCTGGAGTTGGTCCTCGGCGCTGGGAAGGAACCCAGGCCCCGCTGTCACCGCCAGCCCAAGAGCTGCACCACGGGTGTGCTGCGGTTCCGGCTGACGTCACTCCTGGCTGCGCAGTCTCCTCCCACTCCAGGGGGGCCATGAGAGAGACCAGACCGGCGGTAAACCCGGCGGAGTTTGCTCTTCTCCAGGCTGAGCTCGCCAGCCTCCAGGAGTTCCAGATGGACGCCCTGTCCTCCCTGCTCCAGGAGGCGGTACTCCAGTCAGTGCCTCCAGTCGAGTCAGCGGCACCGCCTGCAGCGGCTCTGCCCCTGGCGCTCCAGCCCATCCAAGAGGCTCCGCCCCTGGTGCTCCAGCCCGTCCAAGAGGCTCCGCCCCCGGCGCCCCCTCGGGCGCTTCAAGTCACCTCGTCGGCGCCCCCTCAGGCGCCTCAAGTCAACTCGTCAGTGCCCCCTCGGGTGCTTCAAGCCACGTCTGCGCCTCAAGCCAAGTCGACGACACCTCCACTCCAATCGACTCCTCCGCTTCAAGCCAAGTCGACGCCTGCTCCGGTACCTCCAGCCCTGCCTGCAGCGGCTCCGCCTCCACTCAAGTCGGCTCCTCCACTGTCTCCAATCCGGTCGCCACATCCTGCCGAGTCAGCGGCTCTGTCTCCAGCCACTGCTGGCCCTGCCCTCGCCAGGGGCAAACCTCCCAGAGCCCGTCACCGTCTCCTCCTGGGTCCCAGGCGTAGGCTCCCTACACTCTGCCCGGACCTGCGTTGGGCGTCTGGTGCCGCCCTTTTGGGGGGGGGGGGGGGGGGGGTACTGTCACATGATATACACAACCATGATATACCACACGTCCCACGGTGTCACACCCTGTCCTGTCTCCCACTCTGTTCTGTCTTGTGTCTCCTGATTACTCCCACCTGCCCCTCGTTTTCCAATCACCCAAGCTCACAGCCCTCATGTATTTAGACCATCTCAGTTCTGTGTGTCTTGTCGATTCATTGTCTCCATGTCCAGCGTGCTTCTCATTAAAACCTTTAAAGAGGTTCCAGTCTCCCTGCTTGCTTCTTCCCCTGCATTTGGGTCCTCACCTCCGCTTCACTCACCTGCAGCCTGTGACACACGGCCGACCGGCTCCCCAACATCATAAGATTGGGGTGAAAACCACCATATCATAATATTTGGATGAAGTTGCAGCAATCACCCCAAAACCATGACATATCACACTTGTATCATGTATCATTTGTCGGGGCGCAATGCTCCTAATCAAAACATCACTTCTTCCGATGAAGAAACATCGGCCTGGCCTGGCACACACCCAAAATGAAAAGGATTTCAATGTTTTGGGATAATAATTTTGCCGTGGTGAATCGGATTGCTCATTAAGGCAATAGCACACCTCCCAGGGCAGAGCCGGTCGTTTTGATGTAAAATGTGTGGGGGTGCACACGGCCCTTCGAGCCACATTAATATCTGAAAAACTCTCTAGGTGCTTAAAGTGACAGTGTGTATTTTCTCTGGCAATAGGGGGCAGTATATACCTAAATCACTACAAGCATACATTAGTTTTTGTGTTTAAATAAGACCATAGCAATGGATGGACATTTGGGTCAAAAATCCCTGGGAGTTCAACCTCCAGCAAAACAACAAGAACACGAGATTCCCTTTCATCACTGGCACAACCGGCATGAGGACCGGCGGGTGGGGGTGGGGGTGGGGTGGGGGGGTTAAAGTTAGTAAAAAATATGTGTAAAAATACAGACTAGAGGCTCTTTTATGCAATGTCAGGAATGCAGAACTGTAAAGTACACAGGTGGTAGTAAAAGAACAAAGACTAATACTTTCAAATCACCTTTTCAGTCATTTTCTTTCCTTCTCATTGTCACCATCTTACACTTATTTTTTGAATATCTGATCAATAGAGTTAATTTAAATCAGATTGTAGCAGAACTGAAATATTTTAACTGTAGTTAAAGAGCAAGTCACCCCTTACAAGAAGCGTACTTCACTCCCACTTCATGTTTGAAAAATGCAACAAATGCTGTTGCCTAGCAGACCGAGAGGGTGGAGCCACTAACAAATACACACACTCACGACATTGTGACATCATAATGTACCAGTTTACATCATAGCATGCCTCTTAGCCAATAGCGGTGGCAGATTTAAATTCAAATGTAGTGAAGAGTTTTTACCTGACAACGGCACAACACAGTTTCAGGCAGAAAATTTAAATTTTACCTAAAATGCACTAAAGTGCAAAACTATTGACTACACGTGTCTGCAGCATGATTAGACACACATTTGTATAGTTTATCAGAAAAAAAATAGTTGATTTGGGGGTGACTTGCTCTTTAAACTCAAGAGTCATATAAATGGATGGATTATCACCCCACCCCCCCCACCCCACCCCCCACCCCCAACAAACAATAACAGCTTGTCTCCAAATCACGGTGCATTAATTTAAACAACTATAGTAAATGATGCAACAACATGAGCACATGTTTTATAATATTTATATGAGTAACTCCGTTATGTGTTGAAAATTTATTTTCCAGAAAAACATTTCAACAATGACAAAAAAGACTGAGGTCCAGCCAAAGTAATGTTGGAAACATCTTCCATCATCTCAGAGGAAAATGAAATGAGGTGATACCTGGTGTGGTCTTGTCCAAACCAGCTGTTCTCTGTAGATGCAGGATCAGGTGATGATGGACTGCTGCTTCCTACTGCATCTACACATGAAGCACACATTATCTTAGACATGAGATGGACTACACCACATGGACACCAGATTTAGAATAACTATAACATACATGGAAACATCTAATGTGGGACTGCAGCACAAATTATAAAAATGATGTTATTTTCACACAAGTGAAACTTTTTTAATCATTACAAGTATTTACCGACACGATCGACTCACCGGAGGACAGCAGAGAAGCTGGGGAGCACGGCTGCTCCTGGACAGAAGATCCAGCTGCAGGTTGTCCTGTGTGCTCACAGCTCTGTGTGCAGACCTCTCTGTAGAAACATGATCTTCTGCTACACCTTTATATGGGTGTGACAGCGCCTCATGTTCAGCTGTTACACCTCTAGTGAGTCCACATGGTGCTGTCCTTATCTGCACTGAGGTCAGCGCAGGGGAAAACTACAAGATGGTTCAAAGGTTAATTTATTTCATTAGCAGCAAAAGAGGCCCCAAGTGCAGATGCATGCTTATACTTTACATGAGTTCAACGTTTCTCTGTTTAAAATCCTTGTTTTACTGATTTCATGTAATAGTCTGATTGTCTGAGATGTTGAATGTGTGGTTTTCATCAGCTAATTATCAGAATTATTACAGATAAAGGCTGAAACACCAGGCTTTGCATGAGTCAGTCACTTATATTAGTTTCATTTTTTAAGCTGAATTAGTGACATGAATGAACTTTTGCTCCATATTATAATTATTTAATTCAATTCAAGTTTATTTATATAGCGCCAAATCACGACAAGAGTCGTTTCAAGGCACTTCACATAATAAACATTCCAATTCAGGTCAGTTCATTATGCCAATCAGAAATAATGTTTCCTATATAAGGAACCCAGAAAATTGCATCAAGTCACTGACTAGTGTCAGTGACTATACAGCAATCCTCATACTAAGCAAGCATGCAGCGACAGTGGAGAGGAAAACTCCCTTTTAACAGGAAGAAACCTCCAGAGTATCCTGGCTCAGTATAAGCAGCCATCCTCCACGACTCAATGGGGATGGAGAAGACAGAGCAGACACACACACACACACACACACACACGCACACACACACAGACACACACACACACACACACACACACACACACACACACACACACACACACACACACACACACACACACGTCTGACCTGTAGTCTCCACTGCCGTCAGATATAAAACTGTATTTCACTGATAAACATGGAACATCTGGGGAAGTGACCTGGATGTACACAGCTGGTAGAGCTGCTAAAATCCCACTTTACCGATATTTATGTTCTCATGATGAAGCTAGACACAATCAGACGTTTAACAGGAAGTAGAATAGACCTTTGACACCTGACTTGGATTGCTCTAACGTTTTAATTTCCTAGAAAATGAGAAAGTTGTGCTGAAAGTTCCAACATCAAACCTTCTTCTCAGTCTCCTGCAGGCTGACCAGCAGCTCTTAATCTGTGGTAGGAGAATGTGTTTTCTCCAGACAGCAGCACCATGAACCAGCTACTGTCTCTGAGCTCCTGATCAGTGTCACGGTCCAGGCATGAGCACAGAGACAGTAGCGGAGCAGCTAGAAGCGCACTTTTACTCGCTGTGTCTCAATTCAGGGTCTGCATCCTTCGAAGGACTTAGCCCACCCCGCCGACGTGGGCCGGGTAGACCGGATGTTAACGGCTGTGAATTTGGACAGGCCTAGCCTTCATGAACTCCCTCGGCGAACGTTCCGTCGCCTAGCAACCGTGGAACCGCTGAGCAGAAGGGAGAAGGAACTTTAAACGATGGAGCTCGACGTTTTATTTAGCTTTTTAATCATTTCCTTGACTGTTGGAGAGCTAATTCAGAGAAAATACTTTCGACAAGCTGAGCCTGAGCAAAGATGTGATAATAGTTTTTAATACTTTCTAAGGGTCTTAATTTGACCAAAACCAATTTATCACCTTTTAAGACTTTTCAGACCCAGCGGATACCCTCTAGTAAACAATTCTCATTTGTAAACAAAAATAAAATTCAAGAGTTTAATGCAGAACTGATTTTATTTAGATATTTCTTTTATATGTACATGCTTAATCTTTATTAACCATTTTTTTCTAGCAAAGTAAAAAGCTGTCAAAGTTCTCCCTTCTCTCCTGTGCCCTCTGCTGCTCTGCCTCCCTCTGCAGCCTCATGTCCTCCCTGATCAGCTCCAGGAGCTGGTCATCGCTGGCACCTTCCCCTGGATGCCCATTTTCTCCAGAATAGTCTTAACAAACATGTAAGAAAAGAAACAGGAAGAGAAAAGAGGACAACGGGTTATTCCTTTCATGTTTTCGCAGAAAAAATAAACTCAAACGAGTTTTTAAAATATGAGATGTTATTGTACCTCCATGCCACAGCCGCCGAATACTTTGCTCCGGTGATCATGTGGTCCATCTCCGTCCTAAGCTTAATAAATTCCCTGGTTTTCTCTTTTGTTCCTAAAATACAAACTTCTATTAAAATCAGGGGGAAAACGTAGCGGGAGAAGTACGACACCGAGCGGCCGAACATACGAGCCGAGACCTCAATACAAGCACTTTTACTGTAACATTTCAAACTAAAATAACATTCATGTGTCACAAAAAGTCCTTAACCTAACAGTTTTGAAGTTTCTACTTACATTTATATGCGCAATCCTCTCTGACATCTCCCACTTCACTGTCCGCCATTGTTTTTAAAAGTTCTGCCGTCCGGCCCGCGAGGCATCTTGGGAAATGTAAACCACTGAAGGATACACCGGACCCATCCTTCATTCAGGCGAAAAGAAGGCCGGATTCGTCGACCGCATTTGAAGGAGTCTTCGAATTGGGACAGGCCTAGTCGCGACGCTGTGACGTAACTGGCCGATGAAGGATGCAGACCCTGAATTGAGACACAGCAACTGACTGTCCCATCTGTCGGGTCTGCGCGAGGAGGGGGTGGAGGGTTTCCGGGGAAAATACCGGGAAGGGGGGTGGCAAAGAAGGGTAAAATAGGGAATTTCCCGACCTAAACGGGACACAGGTATGCAGGTAGCGGAGGAACTGTTTTGAGACAAAACGACAACAGAACTTTGTTGCTACCTAATCTTAACTAGATGACATGACGCTACTTTACCTACTGCTAGCTAGCACGGTTATGCTAACCGGAGAAGTGGTCCTTGTTAGGTGACATATCGGGTGCTGTAGCGCGTTGCATGATGGGATAGCTAGGTGTAAAAACAAAGTAAGCACCGGTCCTTTGTGTTCTGAGCTTAAACTGCAGAAAATGGTACACTCATGGGTTGCCATGCTATTTTCACAAGAAGGCCAAATAGTTACATGTAGGCAGGGATCCCGTTAACTGGGTATTTTCCAGTTTTGACGGTTTATTTTGATGGAGAAATCTCAAGGCTGTTGGTCAATCTGTCAGACTGGAATTACCCTGAGGCATGCAGGTCTGCAGAGATTTTAAACGTTACGCACAGAGAACATCACGGAGGTAACTAATTACATCAATAAAAGATTCCCATCAGAACATCTGAGCCACAATCTCAGACCTGGACCCAACGATCAGTGCAGCTTGTGAGCTCGCTGAGGAGCTGTGAGAGCAGCTCGGAGTCTGTGGGTCACAGCCCAGCAGCAGAACCAGAACAGTTAAATCCTTTCGTTGTAACGTTAGTATGTTGCTGGACACGCTGGTTAACCTGTTTAGACTAAATATTAATGAGTATTAAATAGTGAATATTTATTTATTATTATCTGAGAAATGAAAATGACGGGAGGAAACGATCATGACCAATTTTTTAACTCTTGTCGGTCAAAGTGAAAACAAACATGTCTAGCATGACCTCTGATGTAGGTGTAGTTTCTGGACCCGCTTGTAGCTTATGTTGATAATAACTTATTTAAGGCCCATCCAGAAAATCAAACCTGTGTTAACGGAGTCGTGTTTCTGGACGGCTACTTTTTACTTTCACTTGATTACAAACACGTTGGAGTGCTACGCTTACTCAAGTGATTTATTGTCAGCAGGAACGAAACGTCTGAGCTCCGTTTGTTTCCTTGGAGGTCGTAGGGATCTACGATGTCGACTGCAGACAGTTTCTGAAAACACTGATCTCCCTCCTTCAGAAGTTAATTCCTGTGAGGGATGTGTTCGTCCTTGTTCTTTTCATCCATCCTTTTGACTCTTGCTCTGCTCCAACTTCAGCTGCGGCTTCCCCTAGCAGCGCGAGTCATCATACACCTAAAATTGCGCTGGGGGTGTGGTTGACCGGCAGGCCATGTGTCTGACAAGGACCAATATGAGAAAAAAAGCCCAAATCTAATTAAAAGTACATGCCTTTCTCTTTTCCACCTTTCTCTTTTTCTTTTTCTCTCTCAAAACGGCACCCCTGGTGGTTTCTGCTGCTGCATCCTCCTCAGTGGTTTAGCCGTTCACACAGAGCCCTACCGGCCGTCCCATGTGTCTGCTAGCAGGGTCTGATCACAACAGGGCAGGCAGCCGAGCTCAGAGTGGGACTGAAGAGAGCTGGATGGGAATATCACTGGCTTGGTTCAGTAAATGAAAGATTATTTTTTAAATGTTGCAGAATGCAGATATAAGAGGACAGCAGAATGTTGTGCTTTTTCTTTGTGGGCGAGTTGTTGGTGGTGGAGTCGGCGCAGTTTGGTGCCCCTTTCTGGATGGCGCCCTATAGGCGGCTGACTAGTTTGCCTGTAGGACGGGCCACCACTGCTTATCACAGACTGGTGAAAATAAAATGAAATCCTCTCAAATGTTTGGACCAGCAAACTGAAACAGGCTTCAACACAAGCGTTTGTTTCCCGCTTTGTTCTAGTGCTCAACCAGTGTCCATTTAATAGGGGGTAATATTGTTTTTGGATGGTAAAATGTGCAGGGGACAAAAATAGACTTTGGAAAAAGTGTGTGTGTGTGTGTGTGTGTGGGGGGGGGGGGCACGTCCCCCCCTCTCCACCAAAACTATGTCCGTGACTGATGGATACAGAGATAAAACTAAAAAGGAACAGAAGGAGAAACACTGAAGCTGACAAAACCCTGAAAACAGAATGTAACTAAAAGGTAACCACTGAAAACCAGTGATAACCAGTGATAACCAGTGATAACCAGTGATAACCAGTGATGACTAAACCGACAAAATCAGAAAGGCAGAACACACTCCTCTGGTCACCAAGCAGCTGTAGAGCATTTGGACTAGTTCCTCCATGTCCACAAAACATCTGACGTGACCAGGTCCCTGAACACATCACAGCTGCTGAAGAAGGGCCAACCAAGGCTCTTCTTCCACATGAAGCTGAAGCATCTTTGACTCGTCTCAGCTTCTTCTGAACTGGGACCGAGCCACAATAAGGAGTATCTGCTATCTAAAACAACAACTTGTCTCATGTGGTGAGGACAGCTCCGGGGATTGTGGGAAATCCACTCTCATACCTGGACTTGGTTATGTGCTGGATGGCTGCAGAACCCACCTGGGTAAAGGACTGTTTGTCCTGCTTCCTGCTGGGAGTCGATACCTGAGCATAAAAGCATGCATCACCAGACTGAGAGACAGCTTTCTCCCCCGAGCTGTGAAACCCATCTGAAATTCTGCAACTCCAAATGTATCTGACTGCTACTCATATTTGTTCTGCACACCTGCGCATGTGATTGTGTGCGTTCGTTGTTTTAGTGCTGGTTTCTTGAGTGAGTGTGTGTGTGTGTGTGTGTGTGTGTGTGTGTGTGTGTGTGTGTGTGTGTGTGTGTGTGCATGTGGCTGCCAACCGGTCCAGGATTGGCAGCAGCTCCTCCACAACGATGAAATGTATCAAGCTAGCCCAGAAAAGGAGTGAGTGATGATTATTTCTTTACTTCTTTACTTACTGCAGAGATTATTATTACACAGCCTCGGGCTGAATGGATGCTGGCAGAGGAACTTTGGAGGCAGAAACGTATAATTCGGTCTGACATAGATGAATAAACCTTTTAGGCAGCTCCTGTCCAGCTTGCTCCAACCTTATTGGTCTATAAGGAATGTAAAGAAAACCAAGATAAAAAATAAATGTTCAAGTTGTTGCCGGTGGCTATTTGCAGTCAACATGGTCTATATTATTTAGATATAGCGCCTTCTCGAGTCCTGGAACCCCCAAGGCGCTTCACAGCACAAGCAGTCATTCATCCATCCACATCCTGGTGGTGATGAGCTACATGGTAGCAGTGGCGGAGCCAGAACGTAGCAAATGGGTGGGCCTAGAAAGATCTGGATGGGCCTAATTAATTTCAAAGCTCATATGAGATGTGCGCAACGCGCGTGCATCTCAAAATGGCATATTTTAATAAAATCTCTCACGCTACAAATAATCCTGTGATGGAAGAATATATATTAGATACTTGTTCCATGGATCTCTGTTAAATTTCAATTTTAAGGACTGTTACCAATGCTGGACTCCCGCTCTGGGCCCAGACCTGCACAGTGCACACTCTCTCGGATGAACTTTCAGGACCTTGGACAGGTTGTAGTCTCAGCCAGGCGCTCAAATAGGGTGGGGGACAGGGGTGGGGTGGGTGGGGTGGGGGGGTGGGGGGTCTGTCCCCCCAGATTCAGATCGACCCCGATCCGTCCCCTGCACTTAGGCCGGAAAGAAATCAAAATCAGAGGTTATAAGCGCTTGAAGCTCCTTATTCCAATTACATTGAATGCAGCATGACATAAACAAACACCGGCTCTAGAGGCGCGAAAGTGGTTGCTGATAGGATGCAGGATGAAGCGAAAAAGGCAACACTTACTGCGAATTTAAAAAAGACCAACAATGTAAGTAGGCTGGACCGATCTGTCTGTTTATGCACGTTTGTTCTAGTATCACTACATTGTTGTCAGTGTTGTATGGGGAGAAAAAGTTTCAATAGATCTGTGCGTGTGTGTCTAGATTTGTGCGTGTGTCTAGATTTGCGTGTGTGTATCTAGATTTGTGCGTGTGTGTGTGTCTAGATTTGTGCGTGTGTATCTAGATTTGTGTGTGTGTCTAGATTTGTGCTTGTGTATCTAGATTTGTGTGTGTGTATCTAGATTTGTGTGTGTGTCTAGATTTGTGTGTGTGTATCTAGATTTGTGTTTGTGTGTCTAGATTTGTGCGTGTGTATCTAGATTTGTGTGTGTGTGTATCTAGATTTGTGTGTGTGTATCTAGATTTGTGTGTGTGTCTAGATTTGTGTGTGTATCTACATTTGTGTGTGTGTATCTAGATTTGTGTGTGTGTATCTAGATTTGTGTGTGTGTCTAGATGTGTGCATGTGTAACTAAAGATTTGGAACTTGTGTTTACATTTTCATGTGTAACTTCAGTTCCTACACATGCAAATCATTGAATACACACACAGAAACCACGGACAAAACTACATTACACACACATCAGTTTACAAACACAAAAATTGTTTTGAGACTTTTCTCACCTAACTGATTTGTGACTACACGGTGCGTTTGAATGCTGGGTGGAAGCTGGGAAATCTGAAATTCTTTTGGATTTAGTCTAAACTTGTCTTGATGGGACAAATATGTTTTTATCTGGAAAAATAAGAGTATCTCAGGATCCTGTAGTTATTAAAGATAGACCTACATTTAATTTTTAATAATCTAAAACTCTTAATTTAGACATATTTGTTTATGAGCCATGGAAACATAGTCAAA